TTTTTTTTTTTTTTTTTTTTTGAGTCTTTTCTGAATTTGCTCTTTTCGGCTGTTTCTTAACCGTTCTCCCATGACCACAAAGAAACCATTTCTGTCCTTCTCTCCTCTCTGGTCACTCGCCCCTAACTCCTGTACTCACTTGTTACTCACACACCTAGCCCCTCTGCCCAGGTGCAGGCCTATTCAGATGCTTAGGGACATAGAGATGCAAACTAAGAAGCATCCTATACTGAGGCTATGGTAAACAATAGTAGACTTGCTGGGATTAGCAATACAGTAGTAGGCCAGAGCTTTCTGGTGCTAGTGTTTAGTGAAACCCGAGGCTGGATCTCAAAATATTTCATAGTGGAAATATTTTGGTCCCCCACATGTAGTCAGCTTGTCTCTGGTGTCCAGGCAGCTTGTCTCTGGTGTCCAGGTGGCAGGGGGAGGGAGAGGATTTGACTTCTTGGGAGAGCAGTGAGTGGCCTGCCAGCTTTCTGAAGAAACCCTTGGAAGAGAGAGGGGCTTCCGATCTTGTGAAGCCTCCAGAACAGCCCCAGAAGGGTCTGGGACCTAATGATGAATGGTCTGATCCTCTGATGAAGCTGATGTGGTGACAATTGGAAGGAGGCAAGGGTAGGAGTTAGGGTCTCTGTGAAGAAAGTCGAACAGTGGAGAGCATCCTTAGAGCTGAGTCTCACCCTGCTCTCTCTCTTCCTGTACTCCCTCTCTCTGCTTTCTGTGTCCCCGCAGCCTCCACCATGCGTTCCTACTGCCACTATGTTCTGCTTCACAACAGGCACAAAAGTTCAGAGCCATGTGACAATGGCAGAACCCTCTGGAATAAATCTTTCCTCTGTTGAGAAGCTTTTCTCAGGTCCTTGGTCATAGTAACTCAGAAGTAACCAATATGTCCCATGACCAGGTATAAGATTAAGAAAAAAAATGTATTTATTTTATTTTATGTGTATGAGTGTTTTTGCTGCCATGTAAGTCTGTGTACCACATGTGTGCAGTGCCCATGGAGGCCATAAGAGGACATCAGATCCCTGGAACTGGAGTTACAGGTGGTTGTAGAGCCACCACGTGAGTGCTGGAACTAAAATCTGAGTTCTCTGCAAGAGCAGCCAATGCCCTTAACCACCGAGCCACCTCTCCAGCCTCAGGCATCAGGCTGTATCTGCAGCCCAGTCACTCGCTCCCCAGTCTCAGTCCTCGAAGATGTCAGGTAAACCAGCAACACTGAATTTGCTCTCTGCCCCCAGGAAATGGAGAACAGGGGAGGCCTTACCCCATGACTGACGCTGAGAGAGAGGACCAGGCATACCGAGAAAATGGATTTAACATCTACGTCAGTGATAAAATCTCCCTGAATCGCTCTCTCCCCGATATCCGGCACCCAAAGTGAGTGTTACACCTCCCATCTGCTGCCTAAGGATTTTGCCCATTGCTCTGGGTTGTGAATTCAGTTACATGAAGAAGTCTGCCGCCAGCCTCCTGTGGAACAGAGCCTCTGCAGAGGCTCCAGTTATCAAACCCTCTGCAACTGGGAACCGATGTAGCCAGGGATGGTGCTGTCTGTCGGTCTATTCCTTCACTCAGAGGGTAGGAGCCAGCAATTCTCAGAGTCTCCCGAACAGCGGCATCAGTTCACCTGGGAATTTGTTATACATGCAGTGTGTGTGTGTGTGTGTATGGTGGGAGAGGCATGTGTGCCACAACACACGAGTGGAAGTCAGAGGACAACCTCTGGTGTAGGTCCTTGCCGTCTGCCTTGTTTAGGCAGGGTCCATTTGTTCACCACAAATACAGCAGGCTGGCTGCTGCCAGCTCCTAGGGAATCCTCTCCCCCTCCCACCTCACTGTAGGAGTGCTGGGCTTACAGATGGTTCACTGCTGTGTCTGGCTTTATGTGGGTTCTAGCACTTCAAACCCGGGTCCCCAGGCTTGCTCAACAAGCACTCTGCCCCCGGAGCGATCTCTCCAGCCCAGGCTTCCCCTCAGATTAACTTTATCAGTGCACTGGAGGCCATCAGCTGTCGGTGCCCCCAGAAGCACTGTAGGTGGCTCTGATGCAGCCACAGTGTAGAACGGGAAACCACACAGGTGGGAAGCCTCACTTAGAAGACAGGCTGTCCCCGGGACTAGGTCCTTTGCACCAAGGTCTCTCGCCCAGAGGGGACCGAAAAGGGACTCAGAGTGCTTGCCTGTGGGATTTACTGTCTGTTTCATGGTCTTCAGTAATGCCCTAGAATCTTCCATTGGCATCTGAGAGCATTGTTGAGCCACACTGGTGTTGCTGGGTTCAGAAAAGTGAGCTGACACTGAGAGTCACCAGATCAAGCCCTGTGCTGCCTGGAGCACTATTTGTCATAACTGTAAAAAGAAAAAAAAAAAAAAGAAAAGAAAAAAAAGAAAGAAAAAGAAAAAAGCTTTTACCACGTACCCCAACCTTAACACCGTCATGAGCTCCTAGGAAGAAATATAATGGCTCATCTCTCACTATTCTCCTGGTATGGGCCTTCAACTATCTGTCCTTTTGCATCAGCCTCCCAAATAACTGGGATGACAGGCCTTTGTGTCAGCCCCAGCTCATGTAACTCATAAATTCTACCCTGACAGTGAGGAGGAGTAGATTACATGAGGGTGTTTTTATAGGATTATAGATTAAGAAAATCCTCAACTAAACAGTTCCAAAGTTGGAAACTTTGCCTGATTGGTTTCGCTTTTTTTTTTCTTTTCTTTCCTTAAAAAAAAAAAAAAAAATGTGTGTGTATGTATGTGAAGGGTACATATGCCACAACATGCCTGTGGAAGTCAGAGGACAGCTTATAAGAAACCGTTTTCCCGTTCCACCATGTGGGTTCCTGGGATCGAACTCAGGCTTGGCAGCAATCCCCTTTACTTGCTGAGCCATCTCTGCAGGTTTTCGCTCTTATTTTGTGTGTGTTTCTTTCTTCTACATGAAAAATGTCACCCTGAAATGTGTCCACAGCTTGGGAGGGGGTCCGTGCACAGGAGGCCACTGGCGCCTCTGTCAGCAGCCTCCTGATTGCTAATGTTGAGTACCTGCTTTTTCCAGCTTCCCCATGTGTGGAAGCTGAGTTTCCAGCAGTGAATCGACAGATACCTTGAAGTCCTCCTCTGTTCCCCAGAGAGGCGCCTCTCCTGCCGTTTGACAGTGGGAGCACCTGAGTAAATCAGAGCAGTTGAGCAGACTGGTGCCTTCGGTTGCTTTTAGCTTAAACAACTTCTCAGGCAGGAGCTGAGATTCCTGTTTGCCTTTTATCCCTTCAAACTGAATTTTGGCAACAGCCCTGCAGGAGCAGGATGGAGGGGGCTGTCTGTGGCGTCTTTGCTCACACAGAAGCTGTTCCAGGGACACACACCCACGGAGAGCAGGAACTAGGCAGTTTGGCCCCAACTTGCTGGGCTGGCATGTGGAAGGTGACCAGCTGGCTCTCAGCAGGCCTGCCCTCTGCACCTTCAGCCAAGTGAGTGTGAACACAGGCTGGCTGGTGGGCTGGCCCGCTGGGCCTGCTCCCTGGGGAAACCCAGCCCAGATGCTTGGCAACCGAACATAGATAGAGGCTCTTCAGGACCCAAGGTGGGTGACAAGGGAACCCCGGCTGCAGAAGTGAGTAGGGTCTGTAGACTCCTCTGGGATGATCAGTTGGGTTTTCAGTTTTGCATTGCAAAGCTAACCACGCTGGGGATAACAGCAGCCTACAGCCATGACCTACTCTCTCCATGGTGAACATGGAATGTCAGGAAAGAGTGGATGTAAATGGAATCTCTACCACATTCCCACCCTCCCCCATACCCCTTTTGGCTTTTTTCCTTTTGTGTTAGCATGATAAAATTTATGATATGTGCTGAATTTCCTCAAAAGGACTTATGGATTATTGTAGTAGGCCAGACTCTCTGGAGCCTCTTTACAACTCCAACAGGTTACAGATTCCCAATGAAAAGGGAGGTTGAGCTTGTTGCCTCTGACAATCTTATTACACACGCTAATAAAATGACATGATCTGGGGAGATGGCCCATGTGATAAAGTACTCACGACACAGAGTATGAAGACCTGAGTTCAAGTCCCCAGTACCTACATAAAATCCAGGTGTGGTGGCACACACCTCTACTGCTAGTGTGTGTTTGGGTGGCGGGGGTGCTTGAGACTGGTGGATCCCCAGAGCACAGAGAGAGGGCAGTCTGGGGCTGACTGTGGAGGGCCTGCCAGTGGCTTCTTCAGCATATGTTTTGGATGGAAAAGAATCACCCCATGAGGACTAGAGAAACGTCCCCCACTGAAGGCTGATAACTGTTTCTCTTCCCACCGCTCAGGCTGGGAAAACTCATAATTCACACTTCGTGAGCAGGTGGGTGGAGTGCCTAGCAGTGCTTCTTTACCTTAGTGGGAACTTTTTAGCCCCAGGACCAGTCTTGAAAATAATCATAAATTGTGAATTGAAAAGATGAAAGTGTTTTCAGGCAACTTATTGCAATGCAAAGCTCAAGGGTGCGGGAGTACAGCACTCGACTGTGAACACTGGTAGCCAGTCAAAACTTAGTAGGAGTGCAAAGTAGCAGGGAAGGTGACCTGTAACGATGAGAACAACCTGTTGCTGATACATATGTGGCATTAGCAGGACACTGCAGCTGTGTTCTGTTTAGAAAGTAGACATAGATGATATAGAAAGACTCAAACTCTAGAAATACAGGTTTTTTAATTTTATGTGCATGAGTGTTGTTTGTTTGTTTGTTGCCTGTATGTGTATACACCCAGTGTGTATGTGACTGGTACCCTCAGAATGCAGAAGAGGACGTCAGATCCCTGGAACTACAGTTTCAGACGGTTGAGAGCTGCCAAGAGGATCCAGCTTCGGTTGGATCCGAAGCTGGATCCTCTGTAAGAGAAGCAAATGCGCTTAACCACTGAGCCATCCCTCTAGCTCCCAAACTCCAGAAATAAAACCAACTGTGGCTAAGACGAAAGATGCTTAGATTCATGACAGAATAGCTATTGCAGGGGGAAATGTTAGTGAACTTGAAGGCTTAGTGAAACAAAATGCCCAAAATAAAACATAAAGGTTTGGAAAATGAAAACCCTATGAAGTCTGGGATAATTTTGAGTCATCTACTATGAGTATAATTGGAATCTGTGACAAAGAGAAGGAAAATAATGGCTTGAACTGCTCCAAATTGGGCGGTAACTGTAAAGCTACATCCAAGAAACCCAGTGAGGAGGCTGGGAAGATGGCTCAGTGGGTAAAACACTTGCCACTTAAGCGTGAGGACTTGAGTGTGCATTCCGAGAGCTAACGAGAGACATGGTAGAATGTGTCTGTAATCTCAATGCTCACACAGCAAGGTGGAGACAGAGGCATGGAGGCAAGAGAGTCCCTGGAAGCTTATGGGCCATTATCTTGGTATGGACAGCAGCAACAAGACCCTGTCTCAAACAAGGTGGAAGGTGAGAGTGGACACCCAGAGTTTTTCCCGGTCCTCCTCATGCGCAGTGTGGCATGCATAGGCCTGCATCCATGCACACAAAGATTAAGTCATGGTCGGCAGCCACAGATGGGAGCAAGGAACGCAAGCTAGGAGTCTGTGATGGGAAAGGAGAGTGACTCGTGTTAGCTGGGAGCAGCAGAGAAGCCAGGGCTGGTTCTCAGGATTCCATGAAGGTGGAGACAGCACGATCTACCTAAGAGCTGCATAGAAGTGAGCCAAAGAGCAGAGTCGAGGGTAATGTCAAGGTTCCTGCCCCCCAGAGCATCTGAAGAGGTGGAGTCGTCATTTACAGACAGGCAGGGAATGACCTCGGGAAGAGCAGGAATCTGAGTGAGATGCTATTAAATATGTAGATGTCCGAAAGGTAGCCAAGTGCATGGTGGTGGTGTGAAAAAAAAATGGAAATGGGATTTTTTGAGTTGCTGTGTTCAGGTTGTGGTTTTAGTTCACCTTCTGTGAAGAGCAAGAGACAGCAGAGACCCAACAAGGTTGTGAGTCTTAAACTGACCCAAGACTGGCCGGTGTCAGGTTACATGGATGGTGTGCTGGTGAATTTTAACTATTAACCTGACACAACCTAGAAACTGAGGAAACAACCTCAACTGAGAAATTTTCTAGATCAAGTTAGCCTGTGAACACGTCCTGATGGCAGGGACGGGGGTGGGGGGGGGTGTCTTGATTATTAATTGAGGTGGAAAGACCTGCCCATTGTGGGAGGTGCCATTCCCTGGTTTGGAGTTCTGAATAGTCTTAAGAATAGAGAGTACTAACAGAGAGCAAGCAAGCAGGCAGCATGAATGCACTGTTTCTTTCTGCTTTTAGTTACAGATGTAATAATACAGTTAGCTGCTTTGAGTCCCTGCCCCAGCTTCCCCCTCAACGTTAGATTGTA